AGTTGAGTTTACAGCCAATAAGTACAAGTTACAACCCAACACCGTCAACAATTCCAATGAGCTGCTTATACGCGTTTGTGCTGATTCGAAACATAACTCGAGAAGCTTCTCCACCAACCCAACCTGCCACCTTCTCTCCCACCAGGCCATGCTCCAAACATCAGACAACATAAGCCGCTGAAGTTGCTTCGGTCGTTGTGTAACTGTGTCGTCTGCTTTCATAGTGGCCGCATCCCACAGGAAAGATGCTTTCAGACAGGCGAAATACAACAACTTCACTAGTTATGCTTGGACCTCGCGTAACAAGTCCTGCTTGGCAAGGCTGCTCCACAAGAGGATGGCCTGCAAGCGCGCGGCCCGACACAGCAGATGTGCGATTGCTAACACAACATCGCGCCGGATTGATTTCCAGGACATGTTGGCAGCTGCAGGCTTTCAGAGCTGCGTGGAACGACGGCAACTCGCCACGGATTTGCACGAACGTCACTGCCAGAAGCTCACCCTCAAAACCCGAGTTCTAGTTCTGTATGACCGTCACAAAAGCACATCTGCAATAATTATCAGCACATTCATCGACGCCGGTGCCTCTTCCCAGAAGCCACCACGCCTCTTCTCTGCCGGGGGAAAGAATGTCGAACAACTCTGGGCTTGCACTTCGCTGACGACGGGCACTTGGTCCGGTGGTGCAATGACATTCCCAATTGTTGCAATACCTTGAAAGCTTCCGCAACCAGTCGCAAAGCATGGACTTGACAGACAGTTTCTTCATGTGGATCCCCAGGACTGACAGCACAACTATGGATAAATCGAGATGTGAGACGTACGGGGACTACACTTCATCTGATCTCCTCTGCAGTTCGGATCCTGTGCCTGCATGCCGCAAGAGCAACTCCGAGAAACTTCCCATCTATTCTCAGCTGGAGGTCTCGCCTCGGGTAGTTCAGGCTTGCAAAAAACACAAATCGGTATTTGACTGAGTCTTTGTTTCTGCAGAATGCCTTCGATGTGCAAAAAAGGCACATGACGGTTCCTGAGTCAGCTTGGAGCAGGCCGTTACCGTTTTTTTAGCACTCACACTCGACAAAGCAGGCGAGGCTTCAGTCCACCCATCGCACTCGACGCTTACATTACATTACAGTTACCGTTACTGCGACGCGTGCCTTAATTGCCTCGATTTGGGGTTTGTTGTAAGAGGTAACCCCAAAAGTCTTGCGTGGGCAGAAAGGCACTATTGCGCATCCATGTGGTTTGCGCGCACCACATGACGAACCAACCCGAAACAGACAACCTTGTAAGCAAATCATGTCGAGCTGGCAGACAGCACCCGTGTGACCTTTAGCCACGAGTCGTTGCCCACAACCCCTAGCTGATCTGATGGCAAGGCACGCCTCCTGCACAAGGTCCAGTGCTACACGGCCCGAGGCTCCTTCACAAGTACTGTATCATCGGATTGGCTTCGGGTACCAGCCCATAGACCGGCAGCAAAATGCCCAAGTACTTCCCCAACACTCGTCTCACTACTCGTCTCCAGGCGCAGCTCCTTGCTCGCAGGCATGAACCACGGCATTGTAACCTTAACCACATGCCAAGGCCCACGGGAACACAGCTCAACAGCGAGGCCTACTCACTGCGTTCCCTCGAGCAGACCGACAAGGGCAGTGCAGCCTGGCAGCTGATGATGCTCGGCGTGACGCGGTAGCGCCCCATCCTGAGCTTGTACGCTGAGCCAGGCTATAATGGCAAAAACGATTCCAATAATGAAAAACTGAAAAACCCACCTGCCAAATATCCTACAATCACCTGCGACAAACCGGGCGAGGTTTCCAGATCTTCATCTATACACTGCCTTTGCGATGAGTGACCAGCGGGGGGGAGAACTTCTGACGAAGCAAACTCATGAAAAGGTAATCCGTCGTAGGCGGACTTGGGGGTCTTTAGAACAACGCAGTGGTAAAGAGCAAGATGCCCAGTCAGTACATCTCACTACAGGTGTTATGGGTATGAGACATGCCCCTGGCTGCTGATCCGCCCCCCAAGATCGGCCATGGAGCTCTGAAAGCAGCTCCAGTGCTGTTGGCCAGGGTGCAGCTGCTGCAGCCGCCAGAGCTGAGCCGAAAGTGACAACCTGAAGCAGCACTTTATCTCATGTTCATTCAATCTTATTTCATTGCGAGGTAACAGGTAGGTACAGCTTCAGTGAGAAGGCAGGAAAAAATGGCGAGTGGCGTTCGGCTGCACACCGACTTGGAAAAGGAGTTGATGCAGCTGCAGGGATGCGGGCCATGCGGCACCCTTCCTCAGTAGAAGGCTCCATCCAGCTCCGGGCAGAAATGGATAGATGCGGCTGGCCGGCATGGTACTGCTCCCACGACGAAGACTTCGCGTACGGGTACTAACGTACCATAACGCGAAAACTAACCAGTGTCAGTGCAAGTAAGAAGCAGCACAGCGAGGATAACACAACAAAACCAAGAGCGCCAATAAAAGTTGCAGCTAGCATAAACAGGGCTAACCGCCACCAGGGTGCTGGGTTTCATCCGAATAACAAAACTCTTAGCAACAATGCCGTTTGTCATAGCAGCAATAATATAGTGGTCTTGCTACCTTCTCATTCCAATACTACTGCAGAAGTACTTGGTTGAGGAGGCACTACATAGAAGGATAAGCGGCGGGGGAGGAGGAGGACAAGCAATTAGGTAGCAACAGCAAGAACACTATAGTACCAAAAGCACATTGATCAGGGCTCTCGCATGCTGATGCTGCTGCGGCAAAGGAGAATGCATCCACCTCCAGGTCGGCGGCCCTGCAACGCCAGAGGCATGCGCTGTGCGTTTTCGTCACGGCCGTGACTATCCAGGTAAGTCTCACGAGTTCAGAGCTCCAAGATACACTAGCGGCATGAAGAAATCAGCACGCTAGCTCCTAGCCACACAGACAAGCCGGGTAGGACATCAAACGGCAACCAAACACTGGTACAAATACGTACTGCTGGGGGTCGAGGAGAATAGAAATCAGCAACTCGAGAAACCTTTGAGCAGGCCACTTTCAACACGAAGCCAACCTTTTCTGTGTACTGACAGAGCCAGCAAAACTATTGTGCGAAATTGGGGATGATCGGCCAGATATTCGCCCAGGGCTGTCTCCCTCGCTTTGCAAGACAATCGCACACAACATGCTTGGCTGGATATGTTTTTCTCGCTGGCTTGATCTGCAGTGGGCTTGATGCTGTCTGGCGATTGCTGGCCTGTAACATCTAAAATTAACAGCATGACCAGATGACCATAAGAACTTTCCGCAAATACGTGCAAACCTCGCGAACCAAAAACTGTCATGCTTGTGCCCCTATCCGCATCCTTCCGAAATCATTAGCCACCAGCGGGCACTGCCTCATCTCGCGGAACAGCTCCAGAGCTGTGATCCACTGACCCCCTGTCGAGCGAGAGAGCTTCCCAGCAGGACCCCAGTCACCACAATCGAGAATGACCCATCGACCTGCCTCTGCGCACAGACGGCAAGATAGAGCTCACTGACTCACAACCCATACTGATACTGCACAAGTCTTGCATGCTGAGACATCTGGCTGCATCTGCTCTTCTGCTTTCCTACCCCAGCAGCGGATGCAGCGGCCTTTCTCACAGGCGCTAATGGCAGCATTGTAGCAGTAGCCTGGCAGGGAAGCTCCCCACATCATGTCTCAAGTCCGAAGGGCGGTAAAGTTGCGGGCTTCACTCAACAAAACTGGCAACACTGACCCTCCTCAGCTGGGACACTCGAGCATTCAACTGCCACTGCCTCTGAACTGGACGCGCAAGTGAGGGCACAATGATTTACAACCACGTCTTGTTGAGGTGTCTCTTGCCTGAGTCCTGCTTTTCACAGGATCACGAACCACAAAATATGGGAGTTTCATAAAATTAGGGTACTTCATTTTGGGGTCCTTATAAAAAGGATCCCACTATTTAGGGTACTATATTAGGGTCCCCTATTTTCGGAAAGCCCCATATATCACGGCCCAAGGCCGGACCCAAGCGCAGTGCAGCCTTGCGCCACTCTCCGCTGGAGGGCCTCGCGAAGCAGGGCCAGGGCAGCTGGCCACTGTTGAGCCTCGGCAACGTAGACTTGGGTAGATATAAGTATGGTTATAAGTCCCCTAATATGGGTTGTAAGTATAGTCTACTTGCTGTCGACATCTGCAAAGAAGTCACGACTAGCTCTTGAACCACAGACAGACAGTAACAGGCAGCATTTCAAGTCTTGCATGGTTTCTATGCTGCTTTCCCGAAGACGAGACGAGGAGCCTTGTCACAAGCACTGATGGCTGCGGAGAACGTCCTCCGAACAATCTGCCAGGTTTGAGCAAGCCAAGGTTTATTAGTGTGTTTGTCTTCGCAAACCGGGTTTTGAGATGTTTTGAGTCTCACAGAGCCCCCACACCCAGGCAGATTCTAAAACGCGCACAAATCCCATGTGGCCAATTTCTTGGCCACAAAAACAATATACCTACCTCTATGGTGCTCGGCTTTACGATGACGGCATCCTCGGCTTGCCCGACTGTTTGTGTATGCTGCTCCCTCCCTGCATGTGAGACAGTCCTCTCATTCGGCGCAACCAGATGCTCCTGCATGCCTCCGCCCCGGATGCGCGATCAGGCGGCAGCTCAAGTTGGCTCTGCTCATCACGCCAAGTACCAACTTATGCATCATCCCTCATTAGTCATTAGTCCGACAAAGCAGCGGCGGAGGAGTTCTGAAGCCATCCGCCAGCGCCCGTCTCCTTGAGGACATGTGGAAATGATATGTGCAGTCTGGTTGTCGAGGACGCAGAAGTTCACAAGGATTTTGCCGGTGTTGGAGCAGACTTCTGGAAATGCCGCCCGGTCCTGCGCATGCAGCGGCTGCCTGAGGAAATCACAAGGCTTTCAGGAAGACCGTGCCTCCCTTGTAACTTATTTCAGCTTCCAGACTGTCTCCAGTGATCATGGCTCATCCGGCGGAGCGATGCTCCGTGACGGAGAAGGGTCAAAGTGCTTCAGATCGTGGTCACCCCTGAGCCTCTTACTCCATAGATGACGTCATCATCCGCAAAAGAGGCTAGGTCCATGAACCAAACTAGGCTAGAACCGGCTAGAACTGAGACATCTTGCTGTGGCAAGAACGCCGGGAGCTCAACCAGAGGATAATCCGAAGGTGAATATCTTCGCCCAGCGGCTGCGCTGTAGCAGAACACATCTGGAAGGACCAGCCTACAACAGTGATGCCATGATAAGTGTGCAAAGAACTACGGCGCGGAGGTCAATGCAGTTTGCAGTCGCTCTGCCTCGCGGCCAAGTGGTCGAGAAGGGTAAACACCTGCGCTGCATTATGCTCACCGAACTACATACATTAGAGAGCTGGTGCAACATGAATTCAACAAGCTGATTAGATCTAGGACATTCGTGAAGGACGACGGACACAAAACCTTGTCAAGAAAGGCTTTGCTGTCAAAACCTTTTCTTGCAGGCCTGTGTCCATGGTGCCTTGCGCAGCACTGACGTGGCGGTGCGGAGGGCCTTTGATGCACCTGTCTTGACGACACTGAACAAAGCACCCAGCACCTTCGTATCCATGCCTGGTCGAGTCCTGGACGACATTGCGCACACACTCGCGGCAGTTTTGTGCCTTGGTCGAGTCCTCTGTTGAGCTGCAGCTGCAGCTGTTCCCAGCCATCGTCGGCTCTGGCGGCTCCAGCTGCGGCACCTTTTGCAACAGGGACAGTGGGAGAGGTCATCATAGGACAATGGATGGACGCAAACATCAGAACAATGATGCAGCCATCCACGATTGATGACAGGAGAAGAACCCTAGCACACCAATATTCCTAATAGCAAGTTGGCAAGTTGAAGAAGCGGCAGGAGTAGCAGTAGCAGTGCAGTAGTGCAGTAGCAGTAGCGGTGGCAATAGCAGTAGCAGCCGCAGTTGCAACAGCAGCAGCAGTAGTAGTAGCAGTAGTAGTAGTAGCAGCAGCAGCAGCAGCAGTAGTGGTAGTAGTAGTACTA